AGGAGGAAGACGAGGAACTCAGGGGATTTTTTTTTGTACACTGACCCTGTCCTTGGGGAACGATGGCATCACTGGGGCCGCTCCCGTCCTCGTAAGGGGAGGGTTCCCTGGAACTGGCCAGGCCTGGAGGGCGCCGCGCGGCGGCACCCCGCGTCCCTCCTGGGTCCGGAAGCCCCGGCACCTGGCCAGACCCGCCACCCGGGGAGGGCGTGGGCGGGGCTCTCGGGCCCACGGCTGCACTGCAGTCATCGGCCTGACCTAAAAGGAACGATCAATACGGAACGAAGCCCCCTTTTTACCCCAAGGAATAGCGCACAAGGAACGAGAAATAACACATGACGCATGAGGATCTGTAAACAACGCATGCAAACCTAAGGAACGACCGAGCCCCTTTTGAAAAGTAAGCATTCCTTATTCAAGCCGCTCACTGTACATGCTGCATCATCCCCAGCATCCGTGGCCTCTCTGATCGCCCTGGGGGCCGCCCTTCGAAACACACCTTCGCTGAGCCTCGACAGTTTCTCCAAACCTGTAGGGTTCTCCCCCCTTTCTGCAGCGGAACTAAATTCCAGGGCTCCGAGGTCGCGTGCAGACCGCAACTCGAACAGACATCCAGGTACCATTTTTCGACATACCGAATTGCGTGCGAAGGGCGCGCGCGCTCGCGCGCGCCGTGTCCTCTGACGGCTGGGGCGATGCGCTCGCCGACTGCTACTGCAGGACCGCTCTGCTCTTTAGCTGAGGGTCCTAGGCAGGTTCCCGCGGCGAATTCCCGCAGTTTGTATCTGGGAATCCCCCTTCTCGCACACCGTGCACCACCAACATGTATGGGAAGACCCGCGGAGCTCGAAAGAGTGGCTGGACGAGGCTGCAAGGGTGACGTGCCTCGGCGGCCTCTTAGCCACCCTCGGGGCCCTGTCCGCACGAACTTTGTACTTTGCGTCCGCCGCTGCCGCCAATGCACCGCCTGGCTCCGCAGCGAATCGGCGAGGCCATGACGTCCACGCGGTCCGTCTCGGGCTCCCGGCCCGCCACACCTCCCCAAGCCAACCCAGGCGCCCCCCCCCGCCCACGAACAAGCACGGGCGCTGCCAGATGCGAAGAAGCGTTTCTCACGCGTGTCTAGCGTACATTCGGGGCGTTGACCTAAGGAACCCCAAATGAGGAACGAGGCCCCTTTTTCCCATCAGTGAAACTTCGACTTCCCATGGAGAACCTCAGGAAAACCCAGGGCAAGCTGTAAAACAATCAAGGAACACCGAGCCCCTCCCCAACGAGAAGGGTTCCTTCATCAGCGCCCTGACTGTATCGTGAGATACCTCTTGGTGAGACGGACACCAAGCCGCGTGCACGCTGTCAGAGAGTCTGCCCCGGAGGCCCCGGCGGGCTCTGGTCCAGAGGTCCTCATGCCGTGCCCCCTGCCCCTCCCGTGCCCTCTGCGGCCCGCGCGCCCCCCTGCCGCTCCCGCGCGGAGGAGGAGGAGGAGGAGGAGGAGGAGGAGGAGGAGGAGGAGGAGGAGGAGGAGGAGGAGGAGGAGGAGGAATGAGGAGGAGGAGCAGGAGCTGCCGTGCGAGCGGGGCGGGCGCGCACGATCCGCCGCAGCCCGCGGGAGAGGGGGGGCGTCTCCAGGAAGCGCCGCGACTCGCGCAGGTCGGGCCCGTTGGTCTCGGCGTGGCCCCCGAGGACGCCGTCCAGGCTCGCCTCCTGTGCGGGCGGGGGCCGAGCACGAGGGCTGCCCCCGGCTTTCTGACAGAGAGGAGGGGCCCCCAGAGAGGCCTCAGCACTGCCCCCCAAGAGAGGTCCCGAGGGGCCCCAGGGAGGGGCCCCCAGAAGGGGCCCGAAGAGAGGCCCCAGGGGCCCCAAGAGGCCCCGGCATTGCCCCCCAAGAGAGGCCTCAGGACTGCCTCCGGAGAGGCCCCCGAGGGGCCTTCCACGAGATCCCAACGAACATCCAAGAGGCCTCATACCCACAACCCAGGCACGGTGGCGGGATGTGCCGAAGGCCATTCGATCCGCCGCCCCCTGTTGATTCATCACAGGGGTGCCTGGCGTGCTAGATGCTTTCGGTTTTGGTTTTGGTTCTTTTCCAAAAGAACTCCCCCTGGGGCTCCGTCGCGTCCCGCCTGGGTCCTGGGAGGGAGCTCCAGGCCCGCAAACGACCTCAACGTCCGCAAACAATTCTCCAAGACGGCTCAAGATGGCCTCCAAGACGGCCAAGATGGCCCTCACGCAAAGATGGTCCAAGACGGCCTCCCAGACGGCCCAAGAAGGTCCCAGATACGTCCAAATTCGCCCAAGAAGCCTCCAAGACGGCCCAAGAGGCCCCCAAGAGGTCCTCCAGGAGGGCCCGAAGAGGCCAAAATCGTTGATTTCCCTTTGGGTTTTGAGGGATTTTGGCATTTGCTTCTTCTCGGCATTCCGACGGCTCAAGACGGCCCAAGAGGCCCTCAAGATCGCCCCAAGATCGTCCACGAGGCCTCCAAGATGGCCCCACAAGGGCCGAAAAGGCCACCAAGACGGCCCCAAGAGGGCCCGAAGAGGCCTCCAAGACGGCCAAGATGGCGTCCAAGACGACTCATATTGCCTGAAAATGTCTCCAAGATGGCCTCATTCGCACCGAAGACGGCCTGATATGGCCTCAAGATGGCCCAAGACGGCGCAAGAGGCCCCCAAGAGGCCTCCAAGACGGGCCAAGAGCCCTCCAAGAGGGCCTCCAGGAAGGCCAGAAAAAGGCCAAACACACTGATTATCCGTAGGTGTTTGAAGGATTTTTTTTTTTTTTTTTTTTGCTTTTCGGCCTTCCGACGGCCCGATACGGCCCACGAGCCCCCAAAGATCCCCAATATGCCTCCAAGATGGCCCCAGAACGGCCCAAGAGGCCCCCAAGACGGCCCCCAAGACTGCCCGAGAGGCTTTTAGACGCCCAAGATGGCCTCCAAGACGGCCCGCATTCCAAGAGGGCCCCAAGTCGGCCCAGAGAGGCTCTCCAAACGGCTTCCGACGGCGTCGGACGGGCCAGGGGCCCACCAAGACGGCCGAAGATGGCACTAAGATGGCCCAAGACAGCCCAAAAGGCCTCCAAGAGGGCGTCCAGGAAGGCCCGAAAAGGCCCAAATCATTGATTTCCAATGAGTTTTTGAAGGATTGTGGCATTTGCTTTTTTTCGGCTTCCGCGGCCCGAGACGGCCCAAGTGCCCACAAAGATCGCCCACGAGGCCCTAGACGGCCCCAAGAGGCCCCCAAGACGGCCCAAGAGCCCTCCGAGACGCTCAAGATGGCCTCCAAGACGGCCCAAGAGCCCTCCAAGACGTCCTCCAAAAAGGCCCGAAAGGGTCAAAATGGTTTCCAGGCGGCCAAGATGACTGACCTTCAAGATGCCCACGTGTTCCCCGAAGGCTTTCCAAACCGATTCGGGGAATACGTGGTCCGATAGCTTGGCAGGTCTGGCCTCAACGTTCGGCCACATAGGCGCTTCGAAAAAGGCAGGGGGCGGTGGTGATCGCCGCAAGCGTCTTCGATCCGCAACCCCATGGTGCGTATCACAAGGGTGCCTGGCGTGCTGAACTCTGCACGGTTTGGTTTTGGATCTTGTTCCTGAAGAACTCTCCCTGGGGCCTCGGCACGGCGCGCCGGCCGCACGGAAGCCCGCACAAACGACCTCAACGTCCGCAAAAAGTCCCCCAAGACGGCCCACGATGGCCTCCAAGACGGCCAGGATGGCCTCCAAGTTCACCTCAAATGGTCCAAGATGGCCTCGAAGACAGGTGCCTCCAAGTTCGCCCAAGAAGTCTCCAAGACGGTCCAAGAGGGCCCAAGATGCCTCCAATTTCGCCCAAGAAGCTTCCAAGATGGTTCAAGAGGGCCCAAGAGGCTCCGAAGAGGCCCCAAAGACGGCCTAAGAGGCCTCCACAAATAATTCCATGAGAGCCCAAAGAGGCCAAAATCATAGGTTTTCCCTAGGTCTTCAACGGATGTTGGCATTCGCTTCTTTTAGGCCTTCCGACGGCCCGAGACAGCCCGAGAGCTCCCAAAGATCGCCCGAAGATCGCACAAGAGAGGCCTCTAAGATGGTCCCAGAACGGCCTAAGAGGCCCCCAAGACGGCCCAAAGAGGGCCCTAAGGCGGCCTACGAGGCCTCCAATACGCCCAAGATGGCTTCCAAGACGGCCCTGGAGCACCCCAAGAGGGCCCCAAGTCTCGGGCGTTGGTAGAACTGGGTTTAATGAATCTGGTTTAGTGATCTGTACCGGGGGGCGCCCCCCCGTCCCATCTCCACTAACTGGAACTGCCGGCACCCGAAAAAACACCAGCTATGGCAAACCTGGTTTAGTGATTCTGGCCAAGTCAAAGGCTCCGGGGCCTTACCACTGACCAGGTCCCCTTACCCGGGGTCCTGGCCATACCCGAAAGTCGGCCCAGAGAGGCCCCCAAGACTGCTTCCGCCGGCGTCAGACGGGCCAGGAGGCCATCAAGACGGTCCAAGATGGCTCCAAGATGGCCCAAGACGGCCCAAGAGGCCCCAAAGAGGTCCCAAGACGGCCCAAGAGGCCTCCAATAGAGCCTTCAGGAAGGCCCGAAGAGGCCCAAATCATTGATTGTCCTTCGGTTTTTGATGGATTGTGGCATTTGCCTCTTTTCGGCCTTCTGACGGCCCGAGACGGCCCACGAGCCCCCAAAGATCGCCCAAGCGGCCCCCAAGACGGCCCTAAGGAGCCTCAAGGCGGCCTAAGAGGCCCCCAGGACGCCCAAGATGGCTTCCAAGACGGCCCTGGAGCACCCCAAGAGGGCCCTAAGTCGGCCCAGAGAGGCCCCCAAGACTGCTTCCGACGGCGTCAGACGGGCCATGAGGCCACCAAGAAGGCCCAAGACGGCCGAAGAAGCCCCCAAGAGGGCTCCAAGAGGTCCTCCGGGAACGCCAGAAGAGGCCAACATTATTGATTGCCCTTAGGTTGTTGAAGGATAGTGGCATGTACTTCTTTTCGGTCTTTTGACGGCCCGAGACGGCCCGCGAGCCTGCAAAGATCGCCCGAAGATCGCCGAAAAGGCCTCCAAGATGGACCAACAAAACGGCCCAAGAGGCCCCCAAGACGGCCAAGGAGGCCTCCAAGCTGCCCAGGATGGCCTCCACGACGGCCCTGGAACACCCCAAGAGGGCCCCAAGTCGACCCAGATATGCCCCCAAGGCGGCTTCCGACGGCGTCAGACGGGCCAGGAACGCCCCAAGACTGACAAAGATGACCCCGAGAAGCCCCCCAAGGCCCCCAACAGGCCCAAGGAGGCCCCCAAGATGCTTCCAAGAGGCTCCCAGGAAGCTCCCAAGCAGCCCTACGAATGCCCCCAGAAGCACTCCTCCTCCTCCTCCTCCTCCTCCTCCTCCTCCTCCTGCTCCTCCTCCTCATCCTTCTGATATTCCCGACCATCCTTCCCCAAGTGTTCCCCGAAGGGTTTCCACAGCGGCTTGGGGAACACATGGTCCGATAGCTTGGCGGAGCTCGCTTGGCCACATGGGCGATTCCGAAGGGCAGGGTGCGGCGGTGATTCGCCGTAGGCGTCTTCGATAAGAGAAAGGATGGGGCAAATTGCGGGGGGGTCTGTATTGAGCTGTCTTGGAGGGCTCAAAAGGGGGTCTGGGCAAGAAGCCGCCCGTTCCTGGCTGGTCTTGGGGGGTCTAGCATGTTCCGTCTGGGAGGATCGTGACCCCTTCCATGCGGGTGGCAATGGGCCAGCCTGCATTTGGGGGCGAAGGAAAGGGCCCTGAAGGGGGCCGTTTAGGGCCCCTTTCTGCCAGTGGGGCCAGGGGGGGTGAAGCGGAGGATGGGGAACACGACGAGAAGGATGAGAAGGAGGGAAAGGAGGAGGAGGAGGAGGAGGAGGAGGAGGAGGAGGAGGAGGAGGAGGAGGAGGAGGAGGAGGAGGAGGAGGAGGAGAGGAGGGAACGGAGGAGGCGGAGGAAGAAAAAGAGGAGGAGGAGGAGGAGGAGGAGAGAGGAGGAGGAGGGGGGGAATGACCCCCTTCTCCCTTCTCTCTGTCCCCTGGTCCCCTGGGCCCCTGGGCCCCTGGGGCTGGGGCGCGAGCGCTCCTGCGCCTGCCAATGGCTCGCTGCCCGCTGGTACCAGCCTGCGCGCGCGGACTTGAGGACTCGGCTCAGCGCAGCCGTCTGCGATCAAACGACTGGCGGCAGGGGCGGCGACGGCCGCCGCAGGTCCGTCAAACAGGGCCACGGGGAGCAGGACACCGAGCTCGACGCCGAGGGTGGAGGAGGAGGAGGAGGAGGAGGAGGAGGAGGAGGAGGAGGAGGAGGAGGAGGAGGAGGAGGATGGAGGAGGATGAGGAGGAGGAGGAGGAGGACGAGGATGGAGCCAAGGGAGGACATGGAAGGACACGGGGGCAGAACGAGGAGGAGGACAGAGAGGAACAATGAGGGGTTGGTGATGATGCTGATGATGATGCTGATGCTGATGATGATGCTGCTGATGATGAGTATGATGACAGTGATGCTGATGAAGATGAAGATGAAGATGAAGATGAAGATGAAGATGATGATGATGATGATGATGATGATGATGATGATGATGATGATGATGATGATGATGATGATGATGCTGATGGCGGCGATGATGATGACGCTGGTGATGACGATGATGGGGATGGGGAGGGGAAGGAGGAGGAGGAGGAGTAGGAGGAGGAGGAACAGGAGGGGGGGAGGATGAGGAGCAACCGGAGGGGGGGATGATGCTGATGATGATGATGCTGATGCTGATGCTGATGATGATGATGGTGATCATGATGCTGATGCTGATGATGATGATGATGATGAGGAGGAGGAGGAGGAGGAGGAGAAGCATAAGGGGGAGGACGCAGAGGGATGATTAGGGGCATAGGGGTGATTATGGTTGTGTTGATTGTGACAATGACGACGTCGATGCTGATGATGTTGATGATGGTGGAAGTGATATTGATATGCATTGTTACTTGTCATGACGATGATGCTGTTGAACGTGGTGATGGTAACGATGATGATGATGCTCATGATGCTGGCGGTGATGCTGATGATGCTGCTCATGATGATGATGATGATGATGATGATGATGATGATGATGATGATGATGCTGATGCTGATGCTGATGATGATGATGACGCTGCTGATGGTGATGCTGACGAGGATGGTGATGCTGCTGATGATGATGATGCTGCTGACGACTAATACGACGATGATGCTGACGACGATGATACCTATACGGCCACCCTTCGGGTGATAAGGAGGTTCGGGGGGGGGAGGACCCACCGTCTCACTCGATCGGTCTCACGATCGATCTCACTATCGATCTCACGATCGGTCTCGCTCGATCGATCTCACTCGATCGATCTCACAATCGATCTCACTCGATCTATTTCATTCGATCGATCTCACAATCGATCTCACTATTGATCTCACGATCGATCTCACTATCGAAATCACAATGGATCTCACATTTGGTCTCACTATCGATCTCACTATCGATATCACAATCGTCATCATCATCAACATCATCGTCACCAACGTCATCAACATCAGCATCACCATCATCATCGGGACACCATCATCATAACCTCATGACCATCATCATCAACATCATCATCATCACCATCATCATCATCGGGACACCATCATCATCATCACCACCATCATCATCATCAACATCACCATCATCGGGACAACATCATCATCATCATCATCATCGGAACACCACCATCACCATTACCTCATCATCATCATGAACAACATCATCAGCATGAGTATCAGTGGGGCAGCATCATCATCAGCAGCATCATCATCAACACCATCATCACCGGGACACACTCATCATCGTCACCATCATCACCATCACCATCATCATCATCGGGACACCATCATCATCAGCATCGGCATCATCATCATCATCGGACGACCATCATCACAATCACCATCACCACCTCATCATTTTCCTCATCATCAACATCATCATCGGGACACTGTCATCGTCATCATCATCAACATCATCATCATCATCGGGACACCATCATCATCACCAACAGCATCATCATCAAGCTCATCATCATCATCATCATCGGGATACCATCATCATCTTCATCATCATCATCACCTCATCATCTCATCATCATCAACATCACCAGGATCATCATCATCATCATCATCATCATCGCCATCGGGACAACATCACGATCAACAAAATCATTATCAACAACATCATCATCGTCGGGACACCATCATCATCACCACCATCACCATCATCATTATCAGCACCGTCAACATCAGCATCATCCGGACACCATCATCATCACCACCATCACCACCATCACCATCATCATCATCATCATCATCATCAGCAGCATCAACATCAACATCAACATCAACATCAACATCAACATCAACATCATCATCATCATCATCATCATCATCATCATCATCATCATCATCATCATCATCATCATCATCATCATCGGGACACCGACGGGACACCGGCGGGACACCGGCGGGACACCGCGCGGGCCTCCAGCCGCGCCTCAGCCGGAGGCGGGACACCGGCGGGACACCGCGGGCCACCGGTCTCGGAAAGCAATCATTTGGTCCGTCCGCGCCTCAGCCGGAGGAGACATTCTTCTCGCCCGCTCACGCAGCTTCGCCTCGCTCGCACGCACGGCACGCACGAACACAAAACCGGAACCGATTCCCCGGTAGGGGGGCTCTCCGTTCCACTTCGATCTCACCCCCTCACCTCCGAACGCTGATGTTGATGCTGGCGATGCTGCTGGTGATGAGGGTGATGCTGACGATGATGGTATGATGATGACGATGCTGGTTGTGGTGATGCTGTTGCTGATGATGATGGTGGTGATGATGATGTTGATGATGCTGGTGATGAAGAAGATGCTGATGGTCGTGCTGATAATCATGCTCATGATGACGATGTTGACGGTGATGGGGCTGATGCTCATGCTGCTGCTGATGACGATGATGCTGATGATGCTGACGCTGACGATGATGCTGATGCTGATGATGCTGACGAGGATGATGATGATGCTGATGTTGGTGCTGATGACGATGATGAGGGCGAGAGGGCCACGGATGAGAAACTATGATGATGTTGATGTTGTTGTTGACGATGCTGGTGAATGGGGAGGACTAGGAGAAGGAGGAAGAGGAGGAGGAGGATGAGAAGGACGAGTAAGAGGATGAGGAAGAGTACGAGGAGGAGGAGGAGGAGGAGGAAGAGGAGGAGGAGGAGGAGAAGGAGGAGAGGGAGAAGAAGAAGGAACAGGATGAGGACGAGGAGGAATAACAGGGGGAGGAGACCGATGAGAAATCGGAGGGGATGGCGGATGGTATGAGGAGGCGAGGGGGAGGAAGAGAGGAAGCGGTGGCGGAGGAGGAAGAGAGGACCACACTCCATGAACCAGCATGCGTTAAGGATGCTACAAAGCACCCTCCCGTCCCAAGTGCCATCCGCACAACTCCAAACACACCTGCCTTTTCACTGCAATATGAAACCCGCCTGAAATGCCCACACCATAGGGACCTACTGTTCAAGGAGAACCACCGTTTTATAAAGGCGCTGTCGCGCATGCCCACCCCAGCGAGAAGTACGTACCGCGAGCAAGTCTGCTCATACAGCTCGGCGAGGCTTCCTGCGGCAATCCCCTTTCGAACACCACCCCGTCCCTATCCGAATAGCAATTGCAAAAACTTGTACTCCCGGTCGTGGAGCCCAATGAAATCGCAACGGTGTACCCCTGCTGAGACGGAACCGCCCTCTGCCCGTGCCGCTGTTACATCGGCCCACGCCCCTACTCTTAAACCCAACGGAACTCCAAGCGAGGTAATAAGTTTGAAGAAGAGCCCAATCTGCAAGACGGAAGTGCGCCGCGCGACAGGGAGATCCCCTTGTCGAGAAAGACAAGGCCCCCCCCTATCGCTGCACACGCTGCAAGCTTTCAGAACGAATCTGCGCGAAGCCGCGGCGATAGGCCCTTTCTGAAAACCGCCCCTCCACCCCTGTGATTGTTGAATACTTTTGGCACGAGTGTGCTTGGCGCCCAAGCGAGAGCCCACATTCGCCTCATCCCTCGCCCCCCTTCCCCCCCCGCCGCCCATTTCCGCCCACCCCCCCAACTCTCCCGCCTCCCCTTTCCTCCTGCCTCTCCCCCCTCCCCCCCTCCGTCCCCCTCGCTCCCTTTCCGCCCCCCCTCCCCTCTCCACCCTTCACAATTACACAATATGGATGCTACACTCCTCTCTCCCCTGGTGACGTCTGGGAAGTGGCCGGCCCCCCTCCGCGTGCTGGTTTTTCACACATGATTCCTGGGAAACGGGTTTTCGCGGGTTTTTTTTAACTGCTGCTCCACTTTCGGGCCACCGCTCGTTCCGAACTCCCGCTGCAGCGCTGGCCTCATTTCCGCGCTTCCGCTCGTTCCCAATCGTGCTCGCGCTGCAGCGCCTGCGTCAATATTTCCAGCGCCATGCCACGGCATGGTTGTCGGTCCTTCCAAACAGGCTCCAACATCTTGAATATGCCCCCCCCGAAAAAACAGTCGGAAATGATTACACATTCGGTGTCGATTTGTTGATTTTTGGGTTGCAGAAGCCCCCCCCCTTGGGGCGTCGCCACGTCATGCTATGTCAGACTCCGCGTCCTCCGAATCGTGCTCCCGCTGCTGCGTTGGCTTCATTTCCGCGTTTCCGCTCGTTCCCAATCGTGCTCCCGCTGCAGCGCTGGCGTTATCACTTCCAGTGCCATGCCACGGCATGGTTTCGGTCCTTCCAAGTAGGTCCCAACATCTACAACATGGCCTCTCGAAGAAACCATCGGAAGTGATTACACATTATGTGTCAATGCGTTGGTGTTTTCTGGGCCGCAGAAGCCCTCGCCACGCCATGCTATGTCATGCTACGCGTTGAACTTCAACACCATGCTATGCCATGTAATGCTACGCCATGCTACGACATCCGATTGTGCGAATAGAGAAAAGATTCGCGCCATGGTACGGGATGGGAAGGAGGGGTAGAACGTCAGATATGACGCGAGCGCACCTAGCTTGCCCCCTCCCCCCTTTCCCACCTCCCCATCCACCCTCCCCCGCCTCCTCCCTTCCCCGTCCCCCCCCCTCACCCCGCACCCCGCCCGCCGCCCCACCGACACGTCTGGTGGTGCGGCAGGGAGGAGTTGCGGTGGCCAGGCAGTTCTGCTTAGCGTATCGCAGCGGCGGCACATGCGACACGTTACGGTTTGCACGCTGATGGTGCAGCGCTCTGCCTCGTGGGACGGGAGGCAGGGAGCCAACTCTGAACTTTGATGTTCGCGGGCTAGCACGTGTGTTGTGTGCCGCGCCGAACGTGGTTGGCCAAAACTGACAGCGCGACACGCCAAGCAAGCGCTCCTAACCGCATCTAGAAAGATATTGGGTGACCGTGGGAGGAAGACGAGGGGCGGACTAGGAGGAGGTAGAAACGACAGCCTGGAGACCCATCAGGCTTCGCTCTGCGTTTGGTCTCGCAAGTTTGTCGTTCTATCCCTTGGCGATCATTTGGCGAGGCGAAGATGGGACAAGCTGGATGCAACTCCACTTCCTCCACCTCCTCCCGTGACTCTTCCTTCTCGCCTTCCCTCTCTTCCTCCCCCCTTTCCCTCCAACTCTGCTCCTCCAATCCTGCTAATGCGCTTCTCTTGCTCGTCCCCCTGCACATCGTCTTCCTCCCCCCCCGTTCCTCTCCTCCGCCTCCACCCCATCCTCCTCCTCCCGCCAATTCTCCGTCTATGTCGCCCCTCCGCCTCCCCTCCCCCCCCCCTCGGGCGTCCCCACCCCTTCGTTTCCTCTCATCGCCACGTCCGTCCCTTCTCCTCCTCCTCCATCCCTGCTCCTTCTAGCTAACTCCGACCTGCCGCGCCCCCAGCCATAACGGTAGGGTGGGCCGCACATTTCGCCTGAGACTTCCTCACCATGTGTGGCCCTGAAGTTTGGAACCCGCAGCAATTACACGGATGGAGCACAGGTCGTTTCAAAATCTTGGCGCTCGCCGTGGCGCCATGCACATTGATTTTACATGCTCGCACCAAGAACAATGACGAAGCCCGTGCCAATGTTTACAATGTGACCCTCGCCTCAGCGTCAAGCGCATTCGCTTTGAACACTTGCAACATTTACGACGACAGGGGGCGGCTTCTTTTAAAGACGGAGGGATCGCATTGGCGCTGCGCACATTTGTCTTAACCATTTGCAGCATCCACACAAAAGGACGGCGCTCATGTTTCAAGAGTTTGTTCCCGCTTGAAACTACCTAAACATTGAACACTCGAAGCTTCAACCAATGTTGCATTTGCACGGGCGGAGGTCGGTTCCAATTCAAACTGGGACTCTTGCTTGCGACTTCCTCGTTGGACATGGCCATGAGCGTTCAGTTGGGCAAAAGTGTTACGGATGCGAGGGCGCTTCTTTTCTTCGCAAAGAAGATATCGCTGAACACCTGGCTGAACTATATGTTCAACACCCTTTACATTTCGAAATACGAGCTACAACGATGGACGCCAATTCATTATTCGAGCGTGGCGCCCACCTGAATGACAAGCCCACTGGGCGCTGGTATGTCAAGGGGTCGCTTCTTGTTGTGAATGGAAGGCGTGTAGGGACATATGGGAAGGGGACTTGGGACGGGGTGGTGCATTGCAACATCCTTGATCGCCCCCCCCTCTCTCATCATGATCATCATCACCATCACCATCGCCATCATCCTCATCCTCATCCGCATCCTCATCACCATCATCATCCCCCTTCTCCTCCTCATCATCGTCACCACCACCATCACCATCATCACCATCAGCAACAACATCATCATCGTCATCATCATCATCATCATAAGCATCCTCATCCTCATCATCATCACCACCATCATCATCACCATCCTCATTACCATCATCATCAGCATTAGCAGCATGAGCATCATCATCATTATCGGCAGCATCATCATCATCACCATACTCATCATAATCATCATCCTCATCCTCATCCTCATCCTCATTATCATCATCATCACCATCATCATCATTATCTCCCTCCCTCCTCGAGCGGCGCTGGTCTCCGCCCGTCCAGTCGTGACGGGCGTGAGCGTCGGCAAGCTAGCCACGGAAGCCTCCGTCTCGTTTTTCTCCTCGTTCCCCGTCCTCCTTTTTTCTCTCCTCCTCCCCCTCCTCCTTCTCCTCCTTGTCTCACTCGCCCTCATTCATCTCCACCTCCGGTCTCTCCAACATCTCGTCTACACCGGCTCTCCCTCCTCCTCCTCCTCCTCCACGTATCCTCCTGCTCGCCTCCCTCCTCCTTCTGTCCACCGCTCCCTCCTTCTCCTCCTGCTCCTCCTCCTCCTCCTCCTCCTCCTCCTCCTCATGGGCCCTTCACTCTGCTCTTCCCATCATACTCCCGTCATCATTCCTGCGGTCATGATCCTCCTGCTGGGTAGGGCTTCGGACTGCGCAGGTAGCCCTGGCTGGCCTCAACAGGCCCCCGAGAAGTCCCAGCTGGCCTCAACAGGCCCCCCGAGTAGCAGAGTGCGGTCTCATCACCCTGGCACCGCCTCCGGCGGCGCCACTGGGGTCCTCCGAGCTCAAAGCCTTGCCACTCCCGCTCCCGCTCTCCGGTCCCTGCGCCCTGCTCATAGTCCGGCGAAGCAGACTGCAGGGCAAGCGGTGCCTTTGCGGCCCTCCTCCCCGTCGAGCTCTCGTCGCCAGAGCTCCCTGAGGCTGCCGTAGGAGTGGCCCTCGGAGTCCTCGGGGGGAAGACCCCCCATCACCATCATAGCCATCGTGCCGAGGAGCTCGAGGCTGCAGCCGCGGCGCTGAGAGTAGAAGCTAACAGGCGCGCGCTACGGCAGGCCCTTCCCTGCACACGAGTTCGTGGGAGGGAGGGGGGAAGGAGAGCAGGGCAGGCTTGGCGGAACGCGCACGGCCTGGCCCAATGAGGCACGTTTAATAACGAACGCAGGGGCATTCTTGGCCACCGCGAAACTCGGCCACGAAGGCCCCCGACCTAGATCTAAGGAGCGGCCCTGGAACCATAACCCCTTCTGAACCTGAAGTGGTCCTCATGTTAGCGTCCAGGCTGTGCCATCATCATCATCATCATCATCATCATCATCATCATCATCATCATCATCATCATCATCATCATCATCATCATCATCATCATCGTCATCATCATCATCACCATCACCATCATCATCATCATCATCATCATCATCATCATCATCATCATCATCATCATCATCATCATCATCATCATCATCATCGCCATCATCATCATCATCAGCATCACCATCCTCCTCCTCCTCTTCCTCATCATCAGCATCATCATGAACATCATCATCATCACCACCATCATCATCCTCATCCTCATCCTGATTTTCCTCATCCTCCTCATGCTCCTCATCCTCCTCCTCCTCCTCCTCCTCCTCCTCCTCCTCCGCATCATCACCATCATCATCATCACCACCACCGCCACCATCATCATCATCATCATCCTCATCATCATCATCATCATCATAATCATCATCATCACCATCATCATCAGCATCACCATCACCATCATCAGCATCATCATCATCACCTTCGGCATCGTCATCATCATCATCACTAGAACAATCACCACGATTGTCAGCACCATGCCTACTATCGCAGCCACCATTTCCACCACCATCGGCGCCACCAGCCTGCCACCAATGTCGCCGTCAACAAAACACACCATCAACATCATCACCACCACCGCCACCTCAAGCATCGCCGCCATCATCTCGCGCGAGCCGCTCATCTTCTGATAGAGGCAGGAGGGGAGATACGCAACAATGATGATGAGCACGATGATGGTGATGATGGTGATGATGATTTATCTCGCAACGCTGAGCCACCTCGCGGTAGGGTCTCGCAACCGCTGTGGCCTGCAAGGACCAGCAGCCCGCTCGCCCAGCAGCGATTGGCCGCTGGCAGAGCGAACGAGAGCGAAGCAGAGGGTCGCCGTGCCAACCAGGACCGTGCCACGGGCAGCGACGAATGAAGGGAGGAGGAGGAGGAGGAGGAGCAGGACAAGGAGGAGGAATAGGAGCGAGCGTGGAAGAGGAGGAGAAACAGGAGGAGTGAGCGAGGAAGAGGGAAACGGGGTCTTCGATCCAGGGTACCTCCTATGCACCAGATGACGGGCGAAGGCCACAAGGAAGTAGATGATGCTGACATGGGGGCGGTGGGAAAGGAGGAGAAAGAAGATAGATAAGCAATCAGAAAGTAGAGACGGAAGAAGAGGATGTGGAGGAGTACGCCTCGCTCTGAAGGAGGCGGACGAAGAGCAGATGGAGGAGGAGGAGAAGGAGGAGGAGGAGGAGCAAGTGAGGCGGCGGCAGCGGAGGAGGTAAAGGTGGAGCAGGAAGAGGAGAAGGAAGAAGACCATTGCAAACCCAAGACCCATTAACGATGCTGTAATGCACCCCCATACGAATATTCATTCCCACTGGGGGAAATACCTGTTGGGGGGAACCGCGTGACCATCGGGAATCAACGTAACTGCTGCGCCCTGGCAGCCCTGAATCGCTCCAAAACGCCATTTCTAGTACGTTAACCATGAGAACGCATTAAATCTTTTGCCATCCCACCAGCCCTCTGGGCGAAGGTGGTTTCACGAGTTTTGTCTTATCTATCCGAAAGCCCTTCTTCCCCTGCTCGGGGGGTGGGCTTACCCCTCCCCCTCTCCCGTCCACTCGGCCTGGGAGGGAAGGGGGGGGGGGAAGACGCTAGAGCCCCCAATATCGCCTAAGATGGCTCCAGGAGGGCCCCAGAGACCCTTAAGATGGCCTCCAAGATGGCGCAATATAACTCAAGATGTCTCAAGATAGCCTCCGACGCACATCCAAGGCCCCACGACGGCCCCAAGACGGTTTCACATGCTCTCCGAGCCCTCCAAAGACCCCTCCCCAAGAGGCAAACATGGCTCCACAACCTAAGGAGAATTGATGAGTTTTGCCGTCTCGCCTTTTCGCTTCCGATGAGCCTCGGAGGCCTCACGATAGTCCCAGGTTTGCCCACGAGAGCCACGAGAAGGACCCAAGAGGGCTCCGATACGGCCCCAAGACGTTATTTCAGAGCCTCCGAGGGGTGGGGGGTTGAATGTACTCCTCCCTTTTTTAAACAGTGAGCCCACAATTGCCTCAAGAGGCCTCCCAGACCCCCCCAAAGAGCCCCAAGAGGGCCCCTAGACCCCGCAAAAGAAATCCAAGATGGCACTAACAGTGCCCCAAGTTCCGCGAGGACCCCAAAAGAGACCCAAGATGGCTGCAAGAGACCTCCGAGAAAACACGTCAAAGGCGGTTGTTACAATGCATGCCTCTACACTTCCCTGATCAAGGCAACTCGCCTGGCCATTCGTTTCAGGATGGGCCGGGTATGCGCAGCGTCAATACATTCCGAAACTGATGTGCACGGCGATAAACAAAAACGAGAACCACACTTTGAAAACAATCGCCCTCAATCAATGGCACTCGTGCAGTATTTCACAACGAATGTGCGCGACGCAAAAGCGAGAACCACACTTTGAAAAGGAGCCGCCCTCAATCCATTACACACTTGCGAATTATTGCAACGAATGCGCCCGACGCTGAGGCGAGAACCACCATTTGAAAACGACCCGCCCTCAATCCGTGAAGCTTTTCTTTTTGTTGAAACGAGTGTGCGCAAGGCTACGCCGAGAACCACACCTTGAATACGACCCGTCCTCAAGCCGTGAATTTCTGGCAGAATTGCAAAAAAGAAGGTGCGCAGCCTTCAACACAATAACCATATTTTGAATATGACCCGCCCTCAATTCGTGACGAACTTGCAAACTTCAAAAACGAATGTGGGTGACGCTGAAACGGAAGCCACGTTCTACAAACTACCTGTCCTCAATCTGCGAGGTTCTTGCAACTGTTTGCAACCAATGTGCCCGGCAATGGGGCGAAAACCATATTTGGGACGCGACCCGACCTCAATCTGTGAAGCTGTTACCGGCTTTTATACTTGAGGCTTATCAGCGGTAAGGAAGTCTAAAGGGAAACGCCTGGCCAGCCCTTCCGACTGGCCTCGGCGTGCGACAAGAAGGAGTTATTCACAAGGAAAAGGATTTGAGGAGGCGGGGGATGCTGAGGCGGAGACGGCGGAGTCAGAGCATGGATCATGGAATTGTTTACCTCCAAGAGGCAGGTCTGGGAAGACAGGGTGAAACAGAAGCGCGCAAGAAAGAACAACACACACGGACACAACTAAAATACACCCGAACGTGATGCATTCCTACAGGAAGCCCACGCAGACCTCCGGGTCGGAAAGGCCCCGGCAGGCGACGATAAAGTTTGTGGCCCTCGTCCCCCAGCCAGCAGCAGCAACATCGCTGGGACTCCCAGCTCAGGCTGCTCAGGCCTGGCGCCTGTTCAGGCGGGGCTCCTGATCTTGTCGACCCAGTA